GCTGGATTAATGGCCAGAGAATGGAGAATCGTGTCGTACGTTTCAGTCTGTATCTCCGGATTGCGGGTGTCTACGAGGAAACGATTTCGTACGATGATGGGCGAATGTACTGTGTCCGATTTGAGCTCAAGTTGGATGAGTTACGCGTAGTAAATCGTAGGTATTATAAGGCTAGTGAATGACGAATTTCCCTTGTTTATTGATGTCACACTCCTCCCTATTATCTACTCCTGAAAATAATGCATCAGGATTTTTCTTTAAGTTTCATATTTATCGAGAAAAATTAAAAAAACTGCCTAAAATTCAAGTCGCACGTTTGAATTTAAGATTTTTGCGAATAAAAAGTCATAACTCATAAAATATGGCACTTAATAACAATCCCTGATGCGCGTTTTTACAGCAATATGTAACCATTAAAACGAGTGTAAAATTATTCCGAGTTGTAATCACAGAGAAATATCCATTTATACATCGACGACCAAGTCAGAAATTGGAACGGAGAAATCAGCGTTTTTCTGACGTCAGCCGTGGCTCACTACACATGTACGCGGCAAGCAAAACGCTCTGACAGTTCACATGTACCGTTCGTTATATGGAGAAATGAGCATTTACACAGGTGGCACATAGTGTTAGCCATCGAATAAAGTTGAAAATGAAAAATTGGTAAAAATTTTCCTAAAACCTTGAGAGTATCTTTAAGAACCTCTGGTATAGGAAGATACTGATACATGATCCGTATGTATAAGAAGTTAGCTTTATTTAGTAGGATTATTTAGCAGGACAAGCGTGTCGCCACGCTCAAGCCGTACTCCCTCTTTCTCGCCGTTGTGAAACCAAATGCGAAAAGTGAAATCGATCGCGAACGCGAGATTAAATGCGAAAACCGCCTCATCTTTCACAGGCTGCCTTGCCGATTTTATCATCTGCCTTGGTCAATATTTGCTGAAATTTGTTGTCTTGGTGGAAATTCTTGGTACCCTCCCCCTGAATCGTAATCCGGGCAAGATTCCTCAGTTCTGATTCTCCTCCTACGCCACCTAGCCAGCACCGCCATTCGTTTATCAATGCTGCCACACATCAAAGCAGGACGCAACTGCGCTTGCTACGTGCCAGCCAGACGTGCACGTTTAATACAAAGGCACTTGTGTCAGCACCTTCAACACTGACTTACTTATTCAGCCCTGCCGCCTTGCGCATGAGTTTATCTGGGGGGCACACTGTTGCAGCGATGCGGGCGTCTCGTTTGCGATACAGCAGGGCATCGCAGCCTCACGAAGCCACGTCAGATACTTCAAGCACAACGACGTCGACGACCTGAAGAGGCTGTTGCAGCTGCAGGCAGACACGGACAGCAAGGTGCGCGACTCGCTTTCACACTGTCATCTCACATGCTTGCTCCGTGTTCTCCGCTTCATTTCAAATATTACTCGAATATTACCCGAAATAACTTGTGCGTGTGCGTGCGTGGGGCGTGTGTGTGTGTGTGGAGCGTACGTGTGTGCGTGCGTGGGGCGTACGTGTGTGTGTGTGTGTGTGTGTGTGTACATGCGTTGGGTGTACGTGTGTGCGTGCACGTGTGTACGGTGGTGTGTTTGAAAGAGAGGGCTCAACTCAATTCATAAAACATTTTGCACAAGAAAATGTGAGCGCCACATTGCAGTGTGTATACACATACGTACGGTATATACACGTGCAAGTGTGTTCACAAGTTGAGCTTTGTTAATGATGAGCTTTTGCATTATCCAGCATCCCAAGCGTGCCAGAGTGATCAGGAAGTTTGTGATAGTAGAGGGCCTGTATTTGAACTACGGCGACATATGTCCATTACCGGAACTGGTAGGTGTTTGTTTCGTTTTTCGATTCCATTATTATATCGTAAGCAGATTCGATACAATTGTCATGCTAAAAGTTTATTTATAAATTTATTCACTCGAATTCATGGAATGACATTAGTTAATGAGGTAGTAACATGAGATGTATCAAGTCGTAGCGAGTGTTTTATGATTCAGAACAGGTTCAAGGTAGAAAGATTGCGCCAGGGATATTAAAACAACAGGCGTTATCCGTGAACAAACAACATACCATTCACCTTAACGCCATCGGTGCCTTACATTGGTGGCACACCCGCCATTTGTATCGAGAATCGAACGCGTGTTTGTGCGTGTGGTACAAGCAATGTCTTTCAACGCGCGGTTCGTCCGTTCTCCAACAGGTGGCGATAAAGCAAGAGTACTGCGTGCGACTGTTTGTCGAGGAGAGTCTGTCGTTTGGAGTTCTCGGCGCGAGCGGCAAGGGCGTGACCGAACACTTCGGCATTTCAGTGAGTCTCGTCGCCATGGTAACGGCCGGCGGGTGGACGCGCGTGATGACGCGTACGGATGCAGTAGTTGTCGTCGTCCGTAGTTTGTGCTTCTGTACTTGTGTGTGTCTGCAGTCGCAGTTCTGGTATTGCCTACTGTACCACGCAGGGAAAAAAAAAAAAAATTTTGTTTCGGAGGCTACTTTTCAAGCTCGCGTGCATGAAAATAGCACTCTAAAATTTGGTTTGCATTGAACTCTATGCAAATTTCCGGGGGTTCTTTTTGGCATTTCCGGGGCTCTTTTTGGCATTTCGGGGGCTAAATCGCCCCGAGCCCCCGTGTATTTTTTTCACTGGTACCATGCGGTATTATACCACATTTTCGCTTTGCATTGATCAAGAATCACCATCACCACGCCCACCGCTGCCATTGATGCACTCGTAAACTTCCTGATCGAAGCACGAAACAACGAAATCGACTGTAGACTTACTGACACGGGGCATCATTGAAGGGTTACGTTGGAGAAGGGTTGGGTATCGATAAGACTGAATGCATTGATTCGCAGGTAGATGAGGTGGATTTGATATGCGGATCACTGGAGAATGCGCTGGCTGCAATAGGAGGCTTCTGTTGTGGGAAGAGCTATGTCATTGATCACCAGGTAGACGTGATTACCTAGGTTACATGCCTAGAGATGTAGGAAAATTCTGTTCTTAATGTCAGTGCCACGTTTGTGTAATCCGTGCCGGTTATTCTCCGGCGTTTTTCAATTCTGCGTGTTTATCAAAACGTGTCGTCTTGTTATTTCTAATTATAGATTCATCTGCTCTTGTGTGCATTTTCTGACTATACCCTATTATCAGTGGTTAATAATGACAAATTTGTCATTATTAACCCCTGCTATTATGCCTGACCACCTAGTGAGGTGCTGCCACCTACTGTTTATTTTTTTAATTTACAGTTGTCCCTCTAAACGTGTGCAATTATGATTGTCCTTGCAACCCACCTCCGTCAGTTTTGCAAGTAATGTGTGAGCGTGTGTCAATTAGAATTCTTTCCCACACAGAGGCTCTCAGGTCTGGGTTACTGCTTCTCCGCTTCCATGCCTCCAATGATAGCATCGGCAGCGATCACCTCACTAGAACAGCTGGAAAATAACCCGGATATCTTCTCTGCATTAGTGAGGAATTCCAGATGGCTTCACGAGAAAATATCGAGGTACGTAGATTGTTATGCGAGCAAGAGCGGGGTTCAATAAGCACGGGCTTCGTTAGGGGAAGTCCCATGCTGTAATGCTAATTTAGGCGGTAAATCTACTAATTTAGCTGGAAACTAGAGGATGTCTGACTCTCTGTCTGGCTCACAGTTGGAGGCTGTTGCTGCAAGAAGTCTGGATGGGGTGCTTAGTGTCACATACACAGTCACAGCGACATACTTTATCTCTTACTCTTTACTAGTCGTCACTCGCACTATCACTCATGCCACCCTCATTCTCTCCTTCTCTTTTATACTTGCTGTCTTTCTTTCTCTCTCTCTTACAAGCTCTCTCACGTTCCCTATTCTCTCCCTCTCTGGTGCTGTCTTTGTTTTCTCTCTTCCATTTGTTGTACTGTCGCATCACAGCCAAACTGCTAACACTCATTAGGTTTTGGTAGCCATCTTTCAAGTTTCTTTATTTCCATATCACTCCGCCTCCGCAGCCTCATCACCTATCATATAGTACTACCACACCAGTCTCTGCTCTTCTTTGTCTAACATAGTGTAGAATAGTCTATGATACTAATGCCAATAACAGCGCTGTAATCTATGTGAATTTTCCAGCATACCGGGCGTGGAAGTCGGCGGGGATCCGATATCTCCTGTGAAGCACATAAGCTTGAAGGACTGCGGTGAGAACGGAGAGCAAGAGACGAGGATGCTCGAGGAAATAGTGCAGGAGGTATTATAAATACTATCGTATTCAATATCTATATCTCTCTCTCTTTATATATATACATATATATATATATATATATATAGAGAGAGAGAGAGAGAGAGAGAGAGAGAGAGAGAGAGAGAAAGAGAGAGAGAGAAAGAGAGGAGGATGCTCGAGGAAATAGTGCAGGAGGTATTATAAATACTATCGTATTCTCTCTCTCTCTCTCTCTCTCTTTATATATATACTAGCTGCGGGTACCCGCTGCGCTGGGTAAAATCGTGCTACTAATTCATAGTACTATAATAATGGGACAGAATAGGAACATTGGGTAAAAATCGACAATAACATTGCAGACAATATTAATATTTAGAAATGAGTGTAATAAGATAATAAGCATGGGAAAACGGAAAAACTGTTACGTATGACATTTATA